TCCACGATGCATTTGAGTAGGACACAGGAAGGGGATGCACTGGCTTTGGCCTGGGGGCCCTAGCAATGAAGCTAGGTGGAACCGGGTGGTAACTGATGAGGGAAAATAATAAGCTTATAACAGTCAATAATAATTAATAATTGAAGGTGTGAGAGTTCCTTGGACCCTTTGAACAAACTTTTTTTCTATAGTTGGAGGACAGACAAGCCTAAAGTGATATTTGATATATTTGTGAGCGGAATAGGTTCAGTTCATCTGAATGTTCTTTCTAGAGAACTTTTCCTTTGTCTACTAAGTTGGTGACATCATGTTCACTGGACTTGGTGAACAGGAAGTGCTCTGAGAGCGCATGAACACTATAGGACAGTGGAGAAACCTCATAAAAATGAAGAGATCTGTTTGCTATGGTAGTGAAGTTAGGAACTTAGTGGCCCTGTGAGATGCTGAGATATCTTGTCCAAAGTGAAATTAAGTTAGTGGTCCTTGAACCTACAGTTTGACCAAACTTTTCACATTTTGCAGGCATTGTACTTCACATTGGTGGAAGAGCTCTGACTCATTTATCAGACAATATTAGGAATACTGATTTCAAGGGAGTCCTGCAGCGAGGAAGGGCTTCTCAGCAGGCTTCTCAGAGCCTAAGCAATCATGTCACTTAAGCCATATCATCTAGCAGGACAAATAGCAGTAGAGATATAGAGATATTAAATAATGCTATGGAGACTCTGATAAATTTTCATAGATGCCTCACAGTACAAATCCTTAGGATTTTGAAGCAAGGCCATGCCATGATTTGACAGTCAAAAGTCAGCTCCTTGTAGGGATGGAGGCTAGGAATGACTGTAGCTGCATTGATTTGTAGCTAGCAAATGATCACCTAAAATGGTTCTCCTCCTAATCTCTAGAATCTGTAAATATATATTCTCACATGTCAATGGCACTGTACAATATGAGGATATTAAGGAAGAAGGAAGAAGTGATGATAGAAGCAGGGGGAGGGGAGACAGACAGACAGACAGAGAGACAGAGAGGGAAAGTTATAGATACTGACTTGAAGAGGAAAGAAGAGGCCATGAGTCAAGGAATATAGGTTTTTAGAAACTATAAAGGAAATAGATCCACCTTTAGAGACTCTACACCTGTTGACACTTTAATTTTAGATAAAATTTCTGCCTTGATAGTGCCCTAGCATTTCTTTCCCACATCCCATTGCTCACATTTTAGTAACAAAAAATAAGTCAAGCAAGGGCGGGAGTGAGGGAAGAGAACAAGTTGTGATTCAAAATGTCTTTCACGTCAACGACGGACAAATGCAGCCAAAGTATTCAATGTACATATGTGCAAGTGGAGCCAGGTAACTTGAGGGGATGAATGGGGTTGGGGAGATGGGTGAGAACGATGGAAGGGTGACTCTGATAAAGCTGCCTTGTGCTTATCAATGAACATGTCGCATTTAAACCCCTCTGCACACCTACACAAAAGGTCATTTAAAAATGTCTTTTCACGTATACATATTTTTAAAACTTTTATTATTAGTTTTTATTACACAAGTAATACATGTTTGTGGTAGAAAAATTAGAAAACACAGAAAAGCAAAAGGAAAAATAATCACCCATAATCCCACTACCCATAGATAAGTGCTATTAACATTGTAGTGTACGTCCTTCTAGCTTTCTTATGCATATATACATACATAGATATATTTATATATAGTTTTCTTTTTTTACAAATATTGTGTAATACTATATATATATACTGTTTTGTAACATATTTTTCATTTAATATATATTGTGAACATCAGTGTTCATTCCCTGAAAAATTATACAGATACAACATGCTTATTGTGGAAAAATCAGAAATTACAGATATGCACAAGAAAATATAATGGCTCCAAATCTCACCTCCCAGAGATAAATGCTGTTATTCTCTTGGCAAATATCTTTTCAGATTTGTTAATGCACATATGTGTATGTTTTGATAAAAGGGATCAAATTCTAGACATCCTTCTAAAACTTGCTTTTCTCCACTTCATAAGATAGCTTGGACGTGTAAATAAATACACATGGATTGAAGCACAGTATTCCATTAAAAGATAATATCACATTTGACCATATATCGATTTATTTACAAAACATCCTTTCTTGTGTAATTTTTTTAATATAATGGATTACTGTTTTGTATCTCACTTTTATGAACCTTTTAGAAGAGAAGTTGCCTAATTGGAATTACAGGACACGAAGGAAGACATATTGCCCAAGTATTTTTCATAAAGGTTGAATTAATTTACACTCCTATTGACTTTATTTTTATATGCACTTTTTGCTCTAGGAACTATGATTTGTTAATACTCTCTGCCCTTTGGAGATATACTCTCCTACTTATTATCACTGCTACTTTTGTCCTTAGACAATTTTTCTACTAGAAAGTTGGATTTCTTTTTGAGCCACATACTATCATTTGTGCCAGTCATTCACTAATTACTGAATCAATAAATAGGTTTCCAATATTTACTTTGTATTTAGAACTGTGAAGAGTCGAGAAAACAGCATTTAGCAAAATAGATGCATAAGATTAAGAATTAAGCAATAATTCTTGGTGTATATTAGAGATCAAGACTTTTGGTAATATGTATGACAAGTATTATTTTTTCTTAATGTGGGGTTTTTTGTATACAAGGTTTGCATCTTTAATTTGTCTAATCAACATTTCTTTTCTTCATATTATTCTTATCCTTTGGTATTATGCTTAAAAAGTCTTCATTTTTCCAAAATAAAATGACATATGTTTATATTGGCTGCTAATCTTCTTTTATGATTATTTATATACTTTTACATACACATTTTAATTTCACCTAAAATATATTTTAATGAAATTTATGAGGTACAGATTAATAGTTCTCTCATTGAATGGCTAATCAGGCATTCTAATATAACAAGTATAATAATCTAACCATTTCTCATATTTTCAGCTTTGTCTTTATAATGTATTCAATTCTAGTCTTGGGCCAATAATGGATAGCATATTTAATGTTGTATTCTGTGGCAGTAGCACTGTTTTTCCTCAGCCTATCTAGTTATCTAAAAGTTGAGCATCTTCATTTTGTAACATTCTAGAACCACACACACAACAAAGGTAGACCCTACTCAAACGTGTGCGTGCTCTGTGTGTGTTTGGGGGGGGGTGTGATAGTTATAATGGGCAGGAGTCAGAATTGAATTCTTGCAATGTTAAGGCCATCAGAGTCAGAAGTTACTGACAACATCATTGTTGATCCTGCTGTTTTACTTTATATGGTGTGTACTTATATTGTCACTCTGAAGCTGAGCTGTCACTAGGTGGCAGTATTGTCAAACATTCTGCTTTACAACCATTTTTACAGGTGTATGGGAGAAACAAATGGTCAGGCAGGATTTAAAAAGTCTCCCAAGAGCTTTAACTTCCTAGAGGAGGCATCAGGATTGTGCACTGCTGAAGTTTTCTTTATGCACCAGATGAATGGCATGACCAGAAGTTTGCCGTGATTTTGAATCTGGATACATGCAAATCATCAGAGGACAGATTTTTAAAGTGACATTTGGCCTTGTCTACATGTATCTTATCTCAATGTGTCTGGAGCCTTTCCCCCTAACTGATTTAAAGCCCAGAAATATGGTGATTGTGGCAGAATTCTGGTGAGTTTTATTTTTCACATATTTGGTGGTATATTCTAGATTTTTCCACAAACAACATATGTCCTCTGTAATGTGGGAAAAAGTCAACATGGATATTAAAAGTATGGTTGAAAAATGAGTAAATGTGTGCTACAGAAGGCTTCATCCTTTTCTGTTTCAAGTGCGTGGGTATATGTGAGAAAATGGGTGTGACGTTTCCTTCTAACCTTAATCTCAAACCCAGTTACAGCAGGAAGCCAAGACAGCAAAACTTTATCTCAAGGACTCACACCTGAGAAGGTCATTTGGAAGGTGAGAGGAGAGAGGGCCAGCTCCTAAAGATGCATGGACACATCTGATGCGAGAGGTGAATTGCCTATTGCAGCCAAGAACCAATGTCGAAGTGGCTTCAGAATTGTGAGTACTAAATGTCATTTTAGGACCTATTACTGAAAGAACATCTATAAATCTTGGAGTGTGTCTCCTGGAACTATAAAACTGAGCAAAGTCTGGAAACAGGCACTGAATAAAAGATAAAGTGGCTGAATATATTACCTTCGATATGGAAAGTCTGGCTACGTAATTAAACAAGTTCCCATGTCCCTGAATAGCTACTACAGCCTTTTCAGACATGGAGGTGAGACTTGAATTTATTAACAGTCTTCAGCTGTACAAAGGACAATTGCACAAAAGGTAAATGTTACTTCCACACAGAGACTAAGCCAGAATGAGCACAAATTAGAGCAGAAGTGATTTAGGTCAGGCATTTTAAAGATCGTGCTGAACAGCAAAGTTGGGCTGCATTAGTAGCAAGGAGGTTGACGCTAAGGGTTCCATACAGTCCAAGTCTGGAGAGAAACAGGGGCAAAGGGTGTGCTAACTTGGGTAATTTTGACCCTTAAATGAAATATTCTTCAGGTCAAAATGAACCAGAGCCAGGAAACAATACGTAGCTTTAATCAAGTGTGATTTTGAAAATCAAGGTTGGCAGGCCAGGTGACCCTGGGAGTGGTTACTTGTTTGTTCAAGTAGTATCCACTGTAGAGTCTTTAAGGAGAATATCCTCACAACTTTTTTTTGCAGGTATTTGATATAGAAAATGATGATTTTATTATATAACTTGTCAAACATACTTCTCTTGGTGAAGCCAGGCATACCTGTAACCATGCATTCATTCTTGCTTCATTGGAACCCAACTCTGGATGACAAAAATAAGGCCAATAAGCAGCAGGTGTGATTTAAATAGAAACCTATCATTATTTTTGGAGAGCTATCTTTTTAATTTTTTCACTTTCAACACAAAAAGCTAGAAGATAATTTTAATTACATATAATTTCTACACCGTCTACTAGGTTGAACCATCATTTTGGAGGTCAAAACAGTCAAATCTCAGCAATTTCATCTAATTCAACCTAATGCAATAATTATTCACTCCTTTCATCTTCCCTAAAGCTAAAGGTTGAATATAGTTGGTCTTTAGATCAAGATATTTATGTACATATACATTTCTATGCAGAGATGACATTAAAGACATGTTTGGAGTAACCAGTTGTTAGTATCTAGCTCATCTTTCTATTGTACTAGACTCTGGTGCCTTCTGTCTGACTTGAAGATTTTCAGATCAGGGAAAACAAGAGAAGTACAAAGACTTGATCTTTTGACCCATAGGAAATTCTGTGTAGGTGATGGGTCCAGGAAGAACATGGGGAGAAATATAATAAAATTTGTACCATGTTACAAGTTTAATAGAGGACCACAACAAAGCTGGGTGCAGAAAAAGCAAAACATGTGGCTTCCTCCTTTCTAAAATATAGTATTGCTTAATGTGTCCTGCTTCCAATATTCTAAGCATAAGACAAGACACCAAGTGCACATTGGAAAAATCACATCTGCATAGTCATCTAAAATGAGACAAGCTTAGCTTAACTAAAATTTTGTTATTATAATGTAAAATGTTAAATATTTGTACGATCTGAGATAATTCCAGCATGCCCTATAAGATTTAACACTATGCTGATGTGCAAACACCATGCTTCAGATTTCAGTTCGAACAGAAGGTGATAATATTCAATTTTACATCTGAGGGTAATTGTATATGTTACTACATCATTTCCTAACTGGATAACGTCATTCTCCAAGAAGCTGAAAAAAGACATCATTGGATCAAAAGAGAATTAGTTGCCCATATGCATTGTACGAATGGATTAGGATTATTGTGTATTTACAAAATGTAAGCATTGTTTCATATATGGTTCCTGTTGCATTATAAATTAAGATGTTTTTATGTTGAAGCTTTTAGATTCTGACAGACTGGAAGACTAAATGTAAATGAGTGCAGAGAAAGCAATGGGTGAGGTGGTACCTGTTTGATTATAATATTTCTAACGATATTCCTAGATTGAATTTTTGAAGCTTTGCAGTTTTTAAGTAGATTTCTATGTTTAAAGACATCTTTCATACATGACAGATTGCTACCATGAGATCGGCAAGAGCTTTAGCTATACTATTATATGTGAAATACCTTTTCTCTGTGTAGTTCATTTTAAAAACCTTCAAATCATTTAAAAATCATAATTCTTGCATCAGTCACGGCATAGTTTGGAGCAGACATGCACAATGTCAGTTTTAAAAATCCTTTTAGAAACAGCCTTCTTTTGGAATTTGTTCTCCCCTCCCCCCACCCTTGATGGCAGCTGCTTTCACGTGTAAAATCATTGAGAAGGATAGGGAGAGGCAGATAAAAGGAATAAGGAAGCATAGAAAACATAGTCAAAAACCAATCACTGTATAGTTCAGCTGTCTGGAGGTCCTTGGGTTTGATGATGTTTTTCAGGTATTCCTGGTGGTGGGTTTCCAGAAGGATCTGCCTAGCTTGAGACCAGACAACACAGCCCGAAAAACCTTCTCTTACGTCTTCTAACCAGTGGGTAGGGAGTTAGATTCAGAAGGCTGCTGTCATCTGTGATGGGACAGAAGATGCACATGAGTGAAACACAGCTACAAAAAACAAAACAAAAACCAAGTGGTTATAAAAACCCAGCCTCCTTTGGATCAAGGCTTTTGCATCTTCAGCACTGTTGACATTCAGGTCTAGATAATTCTTGGTTACACTAGGCTGTTCTGAGTACGTTGCAAGAGATGCAGCAGTATCCTTGGTCTGTACTTACAAAGATGCCCAGAGTACTATAGTGGAGACTATCTTAGACAACCAAAAATGTTTTCCGAATGTCCTCTAGAGACTGAATGTCGTCTGGAGAAGGAACAAATTGACACAAGGCTGAGAATCGCTGCTCAGAATTAACACTATTTAGAAGCAATCTTTCAGTTGGGAGAGGAATGTAGCTTATTAAAAACAGCTCATGCTTTGGATCATTTTCTAAACTTGCCTCTGCTATTTACTAGCTTGAATTGTGACTTGGAACATGGAACTGGAGTTTGCTACATTTCAATTGTCTTATCAACTCGGGTTTAATAATGACTGCTACTTGCCTTAGGTGAGGATGAAATAAAGCCATCTATGTAAAGCATTTAGCTTAGGTAGGTAATTTGGGACACCTCGCTAACCATGAACTATTTGCCATTACATGGGATCATTTCCTTGGTTCCATCCATTTCCTTCATGTCTAAGAAAGAAGTTCCATCTATTTCCTGTCAAGTCTTCCTACAACACTTTCTGATGGGCATTGAGAAGAGATTGCTAACTGTTGAATTCATAAGTTTTGGGTTGATACTTTTAGCATGAAGAAGAAATAAACCAGGAAGCTAAATCTTGTTTAAGTGCTCATCTGTTTAAGTGCACACCAAATTAATTTAATCCCATATACAAGTTTAATTCTTTTAAAGCTCAGATTGTTTTTAATATGGAGAGAAACAGGGCTTTCCTTTCCATATGAAAAATAATTTATGATAATATAGATATTAACATTTTGAGAGCTAAAGATATCTTTCTTGCTCCTTCCTTCCTTCCTTCCTTCCTTCCTTCCTTCCTTCCTTCCTTCCTTCCTTCCTTCCTTCCTTCCTCCCTCCTTCCTTCCTTCCCTCCCTCCCTCCCTCCCTCCCTCCCATCCCTCCTCTCATGTAGGGTCTTGAACTCAGGGCCTTGTTTTTGCCTAGCAGGTACTCTGCTGTTGAGTCATGCCTCCAGCCCCTCCCCTCCACCCCTCACTGGTTATATTTCAGGATGGGGTTTATGTGTTTTGTTTTGTTTTGGTTTTGCCTGGGTAAACACATACACAACAACCCATTCTTTTTAATAATTTTTTTTTAGTTCTTTAAAATTATTTTCCCTTTTTTGTTTGTTGAGATGATTGGTATGCACCACCACCTCCAGCTTCTTTCCATCTTGATGGAATCTTGTGGGCTTTTCTGCCTGGCATGGCCTGGAACAATGACTCTCCCAATTTCAGCCTCTCATGCAATTTAAGATGGTAGGCATGTGCCTGTCCTTACCACTGTGCCCAGCTATAGATTGAGAAGAGATCTTGTGAACTTTTCTGCTTACCGTAGTGTCACACTGTGATTGTCCCGTCGTCCCTGAGTAGCTAGAATGATAAATGTGAGCCACCCGCACCCAACTGGACAGCTTTCTTTTATAATTAACTTGTCTCCAAAGAGTCAAAATAGTAAAAGCAATGTCAGATAAAATGCCTTGGCCTCAGTTTTCAAGGAGTTCTCAGAGATGAATAATGATATATTTAGAACAGAAAGGACTCATAAGGACTCTCTTATTGTTTCTAAGATTCTTCTGTAACTACTAAGTGATCAATGAAGTTAACCTAATTAGATGTGTGGTAGACTCTGAAGGGTAAAAAAATTAATCTCTCAGTAGCCCTTTAGATACTGACAATACTTCTTGAAACTCAAGTTTACCTAAAATTCAATGCTTTTCTGAAACAGAGATACCAAAATGAGGAAACTTATGGAGAGGAAAGATTTGATATGTCTATTTTTTCAAAACTTGGAAGATATATTTTCTAAGATATATTTTTCTTTGACCTTCCCCAAGTACTTAATATATTTGAGGAAGGACTTAACTGGTCTTCATATTTCATAAGATGGAATCCTCATGTATATTGTTCCTATTGCATGAGGAAATGTCTACTACAATATTGCATTTACAAAGGGAATAATGTGTGCATGTTGTGGACATATGTTTACTCCTCTCTTCTTTATATATTAAAACAGATATTATATGCAGGTATTATGATATGTTTATCAATATGGACCCCTTTTCAGCCATTACAATGCATCTAAAAGCATTTCGGTAGAACAGCCTTCTATGGTACTAAAATTCTCTTTGATCAGTCTTCTTTGCAGTTAGATTTTATATATATATATACACACACATACATATTCATTAGGTATACAATATATGTGTGCACGTACATTTATACAATATATATTTACAATTGAATGGAAGTGTTAGGATTGGTGGCAAAGTGCTCAAACATTAAACAAAGGGCAGGCTCTCCACTAATGATAGCTGCTGGTGTGAGACCCTTTGTTGTGCATTTGTGACACCTTTGTCTAGCCCAGATCTCCTGCAATCATCACCTACGGCCAAGGAGACACAAAAGCTCAAAAGTTCTTGGCAGAAATTCAGAGCAGCTTTCTGCACCATAGGAAGTTGACACATACCATAAGTGCTAAAATTTATCAAGCAATAAAAATGCCTGGAATGGTTTGAAATGGATTCAACCCCAAGGAAAGATGTCTCTCCATACTGACTGATTTATGTCTTGGAACTAAAAGTCTACTGAAGAAATGTGAGCAAAATGGAAGATTTACCCAGTCATTCTAAATTTTCTGAGAGAGTCAACTTCAACTTGTTGGGAAATGATTGGTTTTTATTGCAAATGTTTGTTTGGATATGGCATAGTAAGGCTTTTATCACATCTTTTCCCATATGAAAATGAAAAGTAGGAAAGGGAAGTATAAGAAGGAAAGCATGAGAAAAAGTGACAGAAAATCAGGACAAGAAAACCTAACTATACATTGGATCTTTAGTTTTTGTATGCTACAAAAGCCAGGGACATTACGATCCCAAGACTCACTGATACCATTTCTCTATTGCTCAAATTCATTTTGATAATAAAAGATTAGTAAGTAGATGATATGTAGGGAAAAAGAAGGCTATGAAGTTTTCAATAAGAAGAAAATTTCAAATAATAATAAGCTGTATTTAAAGAGTCGTTCTCTGATAAAATCAAAGAAATACTTACAATGGAGCTATGTTACAAGTTTCTATTCCAGGGGGATAAGATGTAAAAGGAGAGAGACTTTCATTGAACTCAGTGATCCTCAAATATTTGCCTCAGCAGCATTATCGGAGGTGTGTTCATGCATAGACTGCTGGCTCCACCTCTGTAGTTTTTGGAGCGGTAGGTCTGGGATGGAGCCAGATAGGCAATATTTCTTTCAAGTGCCCAGACATGCTGCTGCTGCAGGACTTAAGATCACACTTTAAAACTCACTGAAGATCATCTAAGTTGCAAGGCCCTGTGCATCAAAATGGGTTTTAACAGAAAGATGGTCTCTGGCCTCAAGTAACTATGAGCTTTCATTAAAAATGCCTCAAGAGAGATACAAACACGGTACTATGAGAATTCCTAAGGAGAGGGACTAATGGGGACATTACTACTATTAAGTGGAGAAGAAAAACATCTGTGGAAGATTCCCAGAGGTCTTGTTGTTCACTCCAGACCACAAAGGATGAGGAGAATGTGAGTATTTGTGGAAGGAAGTGGGCATTCTTAACGAAAGGGACAGTATGAATAAAGATACGGAGGTGACTAATAGCAGCCTAATATTCAGTTCAAATAACAGTCTACTGTGTTTATGAAGGAGAAGATGGTACAAAAAGGAACCACTTAGGATCCCCTAAATACATCCATACTGTCTTATCCTTCCTTGCCATTACTATGACTTTAGCCCTCTCTCCTTGGACTAATGATCAGTCTCTCAAGATTAGCTGCAAAACCAGCCGCTGGTGACTCACACCTGTAATCCCAGCTGCTTAGGAGGCTGAGAGCTGAGGATCTCAGTTCAAAGCCAGCCCTGGCAGGAAAGTTCATGAGACTCTTATCTCCACTTAATCACCAGAGGGAAAAAAGCTGGAAGTGGAACTGTGGCTCAAGTGGTAGAGGGCTTCCTTTGAGCTGAAGAGCTTAGGATCAGTGCCCAGGCCCAGAATTCAAACCCCATGACCGAAAAAATAAAATTAGCTGCAAAGTCTTCACATACCAGTTTCTTTGATAAATGACTGCTATGGGCCTTGGCACACTGCCTAAACCCAACCTTGTCCTCTCACCACACTAGAAGCAACTCTTGCGGAAAACCTTCATAAAGTTATCCGAGCTACCCCAGCTCATCATCTGCAGTTACTTCCCAACCTTCCTCAGTCAGGCTTCCGTGCCCCCAAGGTCTGTGTCACCTGCTTTCCACAACACTAGTGAGTACTTTTCTGTTAAATCCTGGGGACACCTGCAGTTCTTATCCAGCTTATCATCTTCATGATTAGTTATTCGTTCTGTGCAACTTCCTTTAATCCATTTCATAATAGTTTCAGGATTTTCTCCTTAAGTCCCTTAGTAAATTGCTTTCCTTTTGTCTCTAGCTTTAAATTCTGGCATTCTAAGGCTCTTTTCTCTGCACACTCCCCATGGGTGATCTCACCTATTTGCTAAAGATGTTCAGATCTGTTGCAAGTTCACTCACATCCCCTGTCTCACTTCAACATTATGAACCACTGAGCACTACTCCAGGATGTCCTAAATGCCAATCATTCTCTACTCTTCTGTTTCTCCTCTTTTCTCTCTCATCTAATGACGACTCCATCATCATTCACTTTGCTTTCCAAGCAAACCTTGAGTTTTTTTCCTTCATTCTGCCTTTTCCCTTCTGTACTATATCTGAGTGATCATATCTTCCTCCATAATTGCCTGCCTTTATACAGATCGT